ACCACAAGGAGGAGCTCTAAATCAACCATCCTGTATGTTTACCCAAAGCAAACCGTGTGCATAATAGACAAAAATAAACATATGTTTAAAGTGAAATGAAAGTGTACTATAAATTTGGGCATCATCTTAACTCATGATTTTTTATTAGCCTAATAGCAGCTCTTAGCTGTGCTTTCAAATTGTACTAAAAACTTACTTTCTTATGAAAAAGGGAAAGTATGTATTTAAAACAAATGAATGCTAACAGTCGGCTACGTAGTTCAATTACAGTTCCTTATTGTATGGAATCTTCAGATCCCTTTCTTCTATTGGTAGATCTCATGTGCTGCAGGAGTACAGAAAGACACAACAAAGAACTGGTGCAGGAAGAGACAGGGTATTATGATAAAAACAAAAGTCTCGTGACATCTTAAAGACTCACATGTTTATTTGGCATAAGTTCTTGTAGGGTCTTGTGAGACTCCAGCCGATTTTATACATGGGCTGTTGTCAACGCTAAATAGTGTATTAGTTTGTAAGCTGATACAACACTCTTTGGTGATTTTAAGAAGGAACCAGAGAGCACCTGCATTTCCTCTTACTTTTAATAAAACTCACCTGGCAGAAACTGAAATCTGGAACTCTGAAAGCCAAAGAGATCAGCAACTGGCAGCTTTCTGGAGACTGATCTGAACTACTGGTTGCCAAACTTTGGGCTTGGCCAGGGCTATGTGTTTGTTATGACTAAAGCCTGAAGCACCACCAAACTGAATCAAGTGGAAAAGGTCAGCTTAGGGACAAAATACAATTCTTAGGGACAAATCCTTAGGGACAAAATACAATCTGTGGAGTTCTTCTACCTGTGATTTTGCTTTCAGTACCAGAACTGGAGCTCACAAATCCACTCATGCACAACTCTCCCCCCTTCTTCATTGACACAGTCTAATTTTGTGCTGAGGAGCTATTGTGAAACCAAGTGAGACTCTCAAATCCTTACTGCTCTGGCACAAATCCCATAGTTTCCTCCTATAGAGATCCTCATCTACCTTTTGCCCACCCTACTCCACCGTCACCTGTTGGTGTTTTACAACCCCTTCCTTTTTAAAAGTACTTTGGAGGTATGACTGCTGAAAGGCAACAGGTCAAAACTGAAATACGGTCTCCTGACAATGTTTGCAATTAGACCCTGGTCCTATGCTTGAGGGGCCATGTTGTGTGGTATACTAGACAGAATGGCAGACTAGGATGCAGGAACCGTGGGTTTGAATCCATGCTTGGCCATGGAAACTCATGGAGGGCACTCATAAAATCACTCCTTAAATACAGTATCTCACTTACCTTGAAAACCCCTGCTAATGTTGTTGTAAGTCTGTTCCAGCTTGATCACACATAAAACACACACCTATGTCTGAGAGCCAGCGTGGATAGAGTGCTGGACTAGGACTCATGAGACCTGGGTAGAACTCCCTGTTTGGCCATGGAAACTTACTGGTAGTATGTGACAATGGTGAAGCCACTCCTAAATAGCTCACATACCTTATTAGGTTGCTGTAAGGTGGATATGACTTGACAAAACACAAACCTATGCTTGCTACATAGGCAAAATAGTGTTTGCTGTGGGAGCACCATTAGACAAACACAGACACAATTCCAAACAGCCAGCCTCATATGCATTCATGGGACACGGCTACGGTTAGAGCTTCATACTTGTGCATATTAGGCAGGGTCTTGGCCTGTGGCTTTAAGCTCACATTTCCACAATAACTGTTGACAGTTACAAATCTGAGAAGTTTAGGTTTAAGGCAGTGGTTCCCAACCATACTTAGGTCCCCAGGTATTCTTGGATTGCAACTCCCAGAAATTTTGGTTAGCACAGCTAGTGATGAAGACTTCTGGGAGTTTTAGTCCAAGAACATCTGGGGACTTATGTTCGGGAACCACTGCCTTAAGGTGATTGGGGAGGGGAATCTGGCCCTTCAAATGCCTTGGACTACAATTTCAAAATCCCTGCCATGATTCAGAGGGCAGATGAGAATTTAGGCTAAAACATCTGGAAGGTGGAAGGTTCCCCACCACTGAACTGGACACAGGCAGGAGACTGTCAAGTTGGGAAAATATGTTTCGGTACCGAAACAAGAAGATCTTATTGAAAAGATACGGGAAATAGCCGAAATGGACATCCCCACCACTGAACTGGACACAGGCAGGAGACTATCAAGTTGGGAAAAATATGTTCATCCTATTCTCTTCCATACCCCAATTCTGTACAGAATCAAATGTCCCCAATTATGCATGGATTCATTTTATCAGAAGTTATGAAGGACTATCCCTTGCAAAAGGCAACAGAAAGATGGGATCTATTTAACAAGTGGACAGAATCAACAGGCAGCTTGTGAACAGTACATATTGAAAGGAAAACTGAATCTAGAAGGCAGAAAAGAGTAAATAGAATAATTTAAAATCTTGATATGGCAATAGGTACAGAATGGATGAAAGTATGTTATTGTCTCCCCTCTTCCTCATCAATCCCAATTCCCTTTTCCTTTTTGTTATCCCTTATAAAAAATAAAAAATACAAAAAAAAAAGTTGGGAAAATATGTTCATCCTACTCTCTTCCATACCCCAATTTTGTACAGAATCAAATGTCCCCAATTAGGCATGGATGAGTCCTGGCACCACAGTAGCAGTTCCCATTCTTCTCCCTTTCGTACCTTTATTTTTTTATTTGAAAAAATTTAAGAACAACAACAAAAAGCTAAGGAGGACATACAATGGGACGAGAAACATAGTAATAATTATTTTTCAAAAAGAAAAAGAAAGGGGAAGTGTGTCTATACATAAGCTTCTATAAAAGGCTTCCAAATATCTAAAAATATAGTTGTGGTTTATATGCCATGTGTTTATATGTTGATAATGTGGTAAGGCCCTCTATCTACTGCATTACAAGGGGTGGCCATTTATCTTTCCAGTGTTGTACAGTAAGTATTTTGGCAATCATAAGGACATGAAAAGTCAATTTATACTGACCAGTGGTTAATCTTCAGGAAGCAGGCAAACAATTTAAGACTACATAGGCACTGATGCACATCGACAAATGGCCCAATACAAAATTAATGTAATATCTTTCCTCTCAAATAAGCCTATAACTAGACATAGACATATCATATTTTTATGAGATGCATCAGGAGAATTGCAGCACCAGAACTCGGATGATTTGTTCAAACCTTTCCTAAAATGGAAGTGTGGTACCTAATATCTTCTAAGGGAATACCCAATGTGGAAAGGACTCCGGAGGCCTGGCTTTGAATCCCCACCTAGCCATGGAAACTCATGGGGTATGTGGAACTGGTAAAACCACTCCTTAAATAATGTATTTATCTTGAAAGCCCTGCTAGTGTGTCTATAAGTCAGTTCTGACTTTAAGGCACATAAAATATATTCGAAACTTTTCTCTCTTTTACTGGATAAATAGTAGTTTCAGATCTATAGATACATCACGCATGATGGATAATGCAGCCTTCCCTTGGTTAGCCAAGACAGCACAGTTGATTTCCATTCCATTCTTAAGACCTTGTGTATCATAACAGCTATTTATAAACAGATACAATGGGCTTCTTTTCCTGAACTGAAAAGCACCTGCCTACACCTGCTTACTCTCCCTCCCCGTTAACCCAGCAGGTAGGACTGGGGCAGCTGTGCCCAATCAGAGCTTGGCTCTATGCTAAGTGAGAAGGGACATTTTCAGCTCAGTTGTCTCTTGATATAAACAAATTGGTAGGGAAAGCGAGGCCCAATTAATTCAGATCTTGCCTCTTCCTCCTCCTTACATTAATAGCATGCAAGGTGAACTCCAGTAGCAGTGGTGGAGGAAACAGATGAATTTTTGACTTTTTTTCATTGTTTTGTTACATGTTTATTGTCCTGTTTTGTTTATTTTATTATGTTGCAAACCACCCAGAAAAGTACATAACACTAATGGGGCAGTATATAAATCAAAGAAATAAAGATTATGGTTGCACTGGTCTTGGGAGATAATTCTTGAGCATTGGAAATCATAGGCAGGTGTGTTTGCAGGCAGACAACAGGCCCATCTCTGTCCCTGCTGCTACTCCAAGTAAACATGAGCAGAGAAGAGGCACTAGAAAGTGGATTGTTCTTGTATACAGTATAAGGATCATCCTATCCTATGGCCTCTCGCCTGCCCCCTCCTTCTGTTATGTGTTGCCAACTCACTTTTTTTGACAAGGCAACCCTCATAAGGTTTTCAAAGTATATGATATGTTTGCCCAAAAGGAAAAGAAAGTTGCACACAAACCAAAGCTAAGAGTAGGCAATACCTCATTTTGGCCATTGAAAATCATTTTAAAATGCCAGGTTTTGGGCCACACAGGTTTCATCAGAATAGGCACCATATATCTGACCCACCAGTGAGTCTCCATGGCTGAGCACTGATTTGAATCCAGCTCTCCTGAGCCCTCTTTACCATGCTAACCCACTAAACCACACTGGCTCCCAATAGCTCCCCTAGGCTCAATCACTAGCGAGTAGTCCATCAAGATGGAAAGCACACCATGTCCAGCCCAAACGTCTGTCCACTTGCTTGCCTTCTCTGACCGGGAAGCGCAGAAGAGCTCCTGGCTAGATTCACTAAAAGGCAGGGCGTGTTGAGGAAGGGCGACGGCGCTGCATTTCGGGTCCGTGATCACCACGATCACAATCTTAGAACTGCAAGGCTGGAAAGGGGCTCCATGGATCATCAAGTCCAGCCCTTGCCAAAGAGGCACGGTGGGGAATCGAACTTCTGACCCAAACCTTTGAGCTATCCGTGGAACTCTCCGATTGCCAAGGACCCTAACTACTGCCCCTCAAAACCCTTGCGGAAGATTAAACCTCCCTGTCTGGCTCGGCCAGGGATGGAAAGCGAGAGGTTGTGTGTGTGTGTTGTGTCGGGGGGGGGAATGACTCTTGGGAGACTGCCGCTGGGCGAAGACAGGCGAGGTCCGGCTCGATGCGAGCCAGCTGTCGGCCCGGAACAGAGGCCGAGGGCGCCTCTGCGGTATAAATGGCTGGCCACGGCAGCTACCGGGGGTGCGCCGCTGGGGTCCCCTGGCGGTGAGCGAAGTCTCTGCCTGCCTGCCTGCTTGCTTGCCGGTCGGCCGGCCAGTTCCTGCCCGCTGCACCGCAGAGGCGCTGCGGAAACGCCACCCGGGGCGGCTCCATGGCCTTCATTCGGAAAAGACGGCAGGCGGCACAGCAGCTCTACTCCAAGGAGAGGTGGGTGCCAGGCCGGCTCGCTCCACGACGGCGCCGCCCCCCCCCGTCTCTCTCTCTCTCTCCCCCTCCCTCTCAAATTGCTTGTTTTCCCTGTTCTCTGATTGCTGTTCACTGTGTAGCTGAAAAGTCAGTAACTCTGCTAGAATACAACAGCCTTCTACTACTTTAACCCATCCCTGTGTGTGATCTCAGAACCATGGATACCCGTCGCAGAGGCAGCAATGAGAAAAGAGAGGCGTGCAAGCCAAAACGAGCCCCCGAGGTCGCCCCCCTTTGCCCCGCTGGGCCTCGCGGGAGCCGTGGCCGGAGCTCTTTTTGCGGCGGGCGGGGGTGCGCGCACGAAAAGACCCGCCTGTTTGACGGGGACGGACCCGTTTCCGTGGTTCCGTTCTTGTTTTACGCTTGTTTGGGACCGGCGCAGCCCCGCAACGCGGAAGTCAGGCCGGCGTTGTTTTCTTGGGACACCGCGATGTGTGCCGGGTTTGTCCTCGGCTCTCTTAAAGCTGCAGAAGCGGGAGTCGTCTCTTGACGCACTCTTTGCCGCACTCGGTGGCGCTTAATTCAGATCGAGACCTCCAGTAGTATCGTTGCTGCGGGGCTGTTTGCGGTTTCTCTTGTTCAGTCGCTTGTTTTCTTGGTTCACTGGGAAAACGCCATGCCTATATCCCTCTCCCAGGGTTTATTCCGCTGGATAGTCTGGGTTTAACCAGGACGTCTCTGAATTAATAGTAATGAGTCTAGGAAACCTCCGGATGAGTTGTCCTGCATGTCGTCTATGATGCTGTTTAGTTCCATGGTTTAATCTGCCAAGTTCTGTTCTTTTCTTTCTACCAAGTCTTTCTTGTCTTACCAGTTTTTCCACTGAAAATGGAAGGATTCCTAAGGGGCAGGTTTTTTGAGACCTAGTCTGAAGTCCCAATAAAGGATTAGATTAGAACTGAAGAAGCTTGATTTCAGATCTCCCTTTGGCCCTGGAAACTCCCTGGGGAGTTGGAACAGTAAAATGTTCTTTGACCATCTCAAAAGCATCAAAACCCTGCTTGGGTTGGCAGAGGTTAAAAAAAAAGACAACATAGAGCAAAGGGGGGTGAGATCCATGCTGTGACATAGCAGATGATGGGGGTAGAGCACCAAGCAAATGTGTGGATGCTGTGACATAACACCCATGCAGAGGACCTCTGGAGAGTGAGAAGAAAAAAAAGGTCAAGGAGTCCAATTTATGCCATAAGTGAAAGAACCTGTAGAAAGTAGTTGCTTTATATTGTGAAAGGGAAATGATGAGCATGGGTTTAGTGGATGCATCGCAAAGGATTATTGAGCGTTAGCCACCATGTTTATGGGAGAGCATGCTGTCAGCATGTCATCTGTCACATTTCCCATAGGTAAGAAACACCAAAGCTAAGTGGTTCCTTCTCCAGTGCAACTGATGTGCCATGGACAGAGTTCTTGAGTAATGAGTGTAACCTGCGCAGATGCCTCTCTCCTTTAGAGGCAGGGGGTAGTATAAGTGGGAATGGAGAATGTCTGATCTTCTGTTGCTGAGTTGCATTTCCCAGAACTGCTAGAAGGGATAGAGAGGGTTTGCAATCCTAACACTTTCTGGAGGATCACATGTTCTCTGTCCCCCTGGGTTCCAGTATGGACTCACTGATCAAATCCATGCGGTGATTCAGCACCACTCATTACTGTTACTATAACCTGCCTCAACCATACACAAATCTTGTGAGTGTATGTATAATGATTAGTTATGTTTTTGTCTTTCCATAAGTGATCTCAAGGTGCACATTACACTTTTCATTACCCAGTGAGTTTCTTTTTTAAACACATTTTATTTTTTTTTCAGTCTATCTACATTCAATTCGTGCTTGTTAAACATTGTGTTACATGGGTTGGTTATAATTGTTTGCTTTTTGCATCTTGATGTTTTTATTGACCTTTCAAAAATCTATACTTTTTAACATTTAAACCGTTCATGTGTATATTTTAGTATACAATATTGGCAATTATTATAATATTGCTCTCATAGTATACAATGTTCTCAAAGTCCTCTAATATACCTAATAAAAGTAATTTTGATTCCAAATTTATATAATTTTGAGATGATTTAACTGATGAACGTTGTATTTTATATCAGCAATAACTGAATAGGTTGCTAACACATAATAGATGTTATCTAAAGCATTTTATGCAGATTTTCTTTATATAATTTTTTAGCCATGTCTATCTCCACATTTTCTATCATGTCTATATCAATATCATATCTAATATATGTTCATTAATTACTATTTTTCCCTTATCCTTATATCTAGCTTCAATTTACCTTAAGAACCACAGTGCTATGCCTTTACCCTGATTAGTGATCCCTTATTTTGACTTAATTCCTTTTTCTAATTTATAGGATATGTCCCCTTACAATTCCAGAAGTTAGTTATATACATGCTTTCCACGTTGATGGCCACCTTAATATTTTCCCCCTTTTTAATCTTTCTAAGTAACTCCTTCTTTTATTTGTCTTTTCCCAGTTCTTGTTTCTATCTCTCTAAAAATTCTGCCGTGCCTTGTGCCACCTGAGAACATTTTATACATTTATCTCCAATAGATCATCCAGGCTCTTTTTAATTAGATTTGCTGATTCTCTCCCCTTATCTTCCCTTAGCACACCTAAAATTCCCTTGGCTCCAGGGTTAGAGTTAAATCTCCTAGCTTTTCTCTTATAATTTCCTCCAGCCCCTCCTTTGATTGGCATACATCATCCACCACCCTCACATTTCCTTGTTCATTATTCCCTGTCTCCTGTTGATTATAGTCCTTCCTTAGCTGCTCATTGAATAATTTCACCTCTTCATTGTGGGCTCTCATTATTTCTAAAATTGCTTGAAGAGTAGATTTTGTTTCATCCCAAAATTTTTCTTGTTGTAGCATTATGTCCCAGATATCAAATAGTTGTATTCCAAGTGGAAGTTGTCCAGTTGCTTAAAGTAATCAGTCCAATTCTATCAATACTTGCTTCCATAGGTCCACTTTAATAGATTGATCATCTTTAAGGTTAAGCTTGAATCCAGTCTCAGACGTACAGAGTTTTCCCTGCCTAAAGGCTCAAGGTCCCATCAAGTTCAGAACCCAGGATACAGTTTAGAAGTCCCACTTTGGCTGAATTGGGCTTTTTAGGGTTAATTTATCTGTAATTCAGTTCTGTCCTCAAAAAGAAAGGGAATTTCAAACAGCAGTAAAGTGTTCAAGGTCATTGATTCTAGGCTGTTTGCCAATACCTTAGATAGCTATTACAAGTAGCATAAACAATTTTTAATTTCCCAGAGTTGTTGCCAATGATGTTTTCAGGAGAAAGATTCTTAAGTTTATGACAACAAAGTAATACCAGACTTCCTTCCTTGAGGTATAATTAAATGTCTAATTACCGTATTTTTGCACCATAAGACGCACTTTCCCCCCACAAAATAGGGGGGTGGAAAGTCTGTGCGTCTTATGGAGCGAAGAAAACAGATTATATTTTCCTGTTTTCTTCTCCTAAAAAACTGGTGCGTCTTATGGAAAGGTGCGTCTTATGGAGCGAAAAGTATGGTAATATCCAATTTATTTTCCTTGTGTCTCCCTGCGTCTGCTCCTCTCTCCAGATTCACTGCTGCGCAGTCAGTGTTGGGGAATAGAAGACACTGTTTCTGCCATAGGAATTGTCTCATCCAGGGATAGTAAAGCAATACAGTTTAAAAAATATTTATCACACAATGGTAATAGAATGTTAATTAGGTTGATTTATCGCTTCTCCGTTGCCGGCTGCCGACGACTTGCAAGCAAGCTAGTTCAACTGCTTGTTTCCACCTGCTGGTTGATTGGGGAATTTTCCGGATCAAACGTGGGTAACCACTGTTACCCCCATGATCAACAGGCTTGTCCTCCATTTCACCACCTCTTCTGGTTGGTTTTAACCTCCTGCGGGGGAGTCCCAAACAGGTTGGAATTCAGCCCAAGGGACGGAGCTCCGTCCTCTTGCTGCTGTCTCATTGCAGCATCAAGCCAGAGGTCCGTTACCCAATGAGTTTCATGGCTCATTTGATGCTAAAACTGGAATGATTTTAATCTCTGTGCTACAATGGATCTCCGGTAATTTATTATTAGTGGGACAAGAAGAGCATAAGAAGTTGGACATTGGAAGCCTACTAAACTCCTACTACATATAATAACATTGTTAGAAGATCCTTCACTTGAAACAGACATAGCGGAGAAAATCAGCATGCATTCTTAAAACATATTTAAAACCATCAAGGCACAACACTTCATTTACTATGGTTTTTACCAAATAAGATAGCACCTGTTCTAAATAAGTGTATCATCTATGCTGACTTTCAGTGGCCACATAAGGCTGTCTTTTTTCTAGTTTTTTCTGGTATGTTTTCTTTTATGCCTCCCATTCCATGTTTTATTTTCTACAGTGCTCGTCTCTTGAAGGTTTTGTGGGTTTTTAAGTTAAATAGTTAAGTTAAATAAAATGTAACTATTTTATTTTATTTGTTTTAATTTGCTGTAAACTGCCCAGAATAGTGCATTACCCTAATGGAACTGTATATAAATCAAATAAATAAATAAAATTTGCACCACCTCCATTGGACTTATGGAGGCCCTAGCAATGTTTTCAAGGTACTGTATGTGAATATTTAAGGAATTATTTTACCCCAGTTAATTTCCATGGCTAGATAGTCTTCTGACCCTGGGGGTCAATCTTTTGAGACTTCCTCTAACATTCTGTGAATATTGGGTATCATACATAATGCTGAGAGACTGTTAAGAGGACAGGAGGGGTGGGGAATGAAGTATCATGAAGGAGGATGGGATTGGCTGGCAGGTAAGGAGGTCTAAATATTGCAAATAGTATCAGTTGAGATGGGAAGAGTTAATAACTATCAACATCACAGCAGGAGATGATTAACCCTTTCCTGATCTGTTGCTGTATGGCTCCTTGTGCTCAATGCAGATAGCAACTTGGAGTATGCCCCACTGCTGGACATACTGTGAATTCCATCTGACCCACCCACCGGGCCTTTGTGAGTAGGCTCCAGCATTCTTCAACAGCAATGGTTCTACACTTTCAGCCCCTTATATATCTGCAATCATATACAGTATTTTAGCCTTAGAGAGGTGAGTAATAAACTAGTCACCAGATATTTCTGATGCAACAGAATCACTTGCTCACCCTTAGGAGTATCACATGGTGGCAAGTCAATGTAGACTGTTATGGAAAACAGGTTTGGAATGTCAGCATTCTGATTACTTTACAAAAGCAGCAGTTCTCTGAAAGTTTTGTGCACTTAAGGAGATGTAATGGTGAAGCACCATTTCAAAGCCACAGGGGAAAACAGTGAAAGGAAAACACGATCTTGCTGTGAAAATAGCTTGTTAGCCCAGTCTCCTTGGTGACAGACAATTCAGGGAAATGTAGGGATTGTGGCCTGACGTGGCTAGGATTGGGGAAACAAATGACTATTTGCTTAGTGTTGTTCATGTGTGAATATTTTCTTAGGTTTGTTTACTTCTTTGAAATCCAGATGATTGTGATGATGATGATGTCCCATTAACTCTATTCTGACTTACCACAATCCTTTTCAGGGTTTTTTAGGTGGAGAATACACAGAAGTAACTCACCATTTCTTTCTCCTGAGGGCATCCTTGAACTGTGCAGCTTGCCCAAGGCTACATGGGCTTCTCCTGGGAGGCATAGTGGGGAATTGAACTCTCAATCTCTGGCTTTACAGCCAGATACCAAGACCACAGGGCTATCATAGTAGTCAAAAAAGGAATATTGTGAGCTATAGTCAGTAACTGCATTTCATAAAGAATGAGAAATTTCCTCTTGTACTGCAAGAGTGGGCAATTTGTGACCCTTTCAATTGCTGTTGGAGTGCAACCTCCATCTCTTTGGCTATGCTGGCTAGGGCTGTGGGAAGTTGCAGTCTAACAACATCTGGAGGGCTGCACTTGCCCACCCTTTCTATACTACTAATGACATCTGTATTCATTAACTGTATTGTGTTAGCATTGTCCCTTACCTTGGTACCATAAATGTTGGGTAACCCAGGTGTTCTTGGAGTGTAACTCCTAGAAACCCTGGCCAGCACAGCTGGTGGTGAATTCTTCTGGGAGTTGCAGTCCAAAAACACCTGAGCTACCCAAGGCTGAGAACCAGTGATCTAGAATAACTCCAAATGTATATATTTTAAAGTTCTTAACTTGCTTCAATACAGAAAGTTTTGCAAAGAATCTGGCTAAGAGGCAGCACGTTTTACAAAACATTCTGGGTCTCGTGAGACTGCCCTGAAATATTAGGTGGACAATTGCTTGGTTGTGAACTCCTTGCAGTCCAGACAGTTATAGGCTTTTGCAATGCCTTGAATTGGAGAGGCGGAGGGGTCAAGTCGGTAGTATCTCTTTCTTGGATATGAAAGGTAATGTTTTCAATAGATAAATATCCCCATATGAAGAGTGAGTTCACTATTGAAATCAGTTCTCAGCTCACCTTAAGCAACATGCATGGCAGATTTCTGCCATGACCATGTTTGGACTTTCATTCATAATTTTTTCTGCCCTGTCCTTGAGGAAGTGAATTTTATTCATGAAAGCGTGAATGTCTGGTTTTTAGTGGTCTGAATAAAAGTGTCAACTTTTCTACATTTGGATTTTGTTATTAGTATATCATTAATTAACCAAAATATCTCATGTATATATTGAAAAACATAAGCATACAGTAAAAGCTCCAACAAAACATAATCTCTGCTCGTGTTAGTGAGATCTGAGTGGGATCTTTGCTATTAGAATGAATACAGGATGTACAACTACAGATGTTTGAGACTGTCGTCTTTTAGCTGCCACCTAGAAGGCTGAAGGGTCATCTAGCAGAGGTGATCAGCTTTCAAGTTCAGTCAGAAGGGTTGTGATGCAGTGCTTTCATCCCCCACTTCATGGGCTATATTGAAAAGATAACCAAGTATTATTTAGAAATTTGTTAGTGCCCAGTTCCAGAGTGTCCTCTCCTTCATATTCGCATACATATTTCGGTCCAGATAACATATAGATTTTGTGGTGTGAGTTCTAGCAATAAAACCCACTGCTACAATAAATTGTTAGAAGAGCATTCTGTTATGAACTACAACCACCTTCAAGGTAGTTTTTTGATGCAATCTACTATACTGTTAGTCCATTGCTTTCACCATGCTTATTGCTATCATTTGTGTTTGTTTTCTGAGAGACTGCATATTAAAATCTGGTTGCTAGCTATTACATTTGAGCTGAGTGGAAAGTGAACAACAAACTGCTGAGAAGTGTTTAGTGATTTCCTGCTGCATCTTAAAACCCCTGTCCTACTTATCTACAATATTTTATGAATCCTGTCTTAGTGCAACCGTCTCATATTAGGAGGAGGGTGGCATGCTAGTTGCTGTGTTAAAGCATTCTCATAATTAATTAGAGAATAAAGAGAATGAGAATAAAGATTAACTTTTCTTCTTAACTGTTTCCAAAAGTTACCTCTTTCATATCTTCTGGGATCTATTTCTAACTGTTAACTTGTTCCATCTGCTGGTTATGGAGACTCTGAGTTACTCAAGCCCCTTCGCCACGACAAGGCAGCAATCCATGAAGGAGGATGAATCTTGAGTACAACATTATACCATTTACTTTTTGAAAGAGGAGGTCACGTTTCCCAAATTCACTGAGCATTGACCACACTGACTGAAACCTCTAGAAGTGGGAACATTGTTGTGGGCAATACTTTTTAGCATGGCATAGGCAAGTCTAGGCAAAGCTCAGGCTCACGTGTTGATTCCTTCAGACTAGGAGCACCTTATTTTAGATTTCAGAGGCAACAACTGAAACCAGATGGCTCACTCTTGAGATGTCACACAGAGGCAGATCAGGCAAGGGTTGGGAGAGTGGCATAACTGTGTCTCACCTAGCTGACAACTGAACACAAGAGAAAATGGACTCAGAATTAGATAAAAACCTGGCTATTTTTCACACTGGCTATTTTTCACAATGTATAATAATAATTATATATTGACAAGTCAATTCTGATGTAAAGGTAAAGGTTCCCCTTGACAATTTTTGTCCAGTCGTGTTCGACTCTAGGGGGCGGTGCTCATCCCCGTTTCCAAGCCATAGAGCCAGCGTTTGTCCAAAGACAATCTTCCGTGGTCACATGGCCAGTGCAACCTAGACACGGAACGCTGTTACCTTCCCACCGAGGTGGTCCCTATTTATCTACTTGCATTTGCATGCTTTCGAACCGCTAGGTTGACGGAAGCTGGGACAAGTTACGGGCGCTCATTCCGTCACGTGAATTTGATCTTACGACTGCTTGGTCTTCTGACCCTGCAGCACAGGCTTTTGCAGTTTAGCCCACAGTGCCACCACGTTCCTTGCAATTCTGATGTACGGTGACCCTTTTCGGGATTTTCCGGTAGAGAGTATTCAGAAGTGATTTACCTTTCCTGTCTTCTTGGGGCAGCCTGGGACTGTGCAGCTTGCCCAAGGCTACATGGGCACAGTGGGGAATCCCAACTGCTGGTTCTTCTGGCTCCACAGCCTGATACCTAAACCACTGAGCCACCCAGCCAGCTCACAGATGCTGTGGGGGCGCATGCAGCCCACCCAACAAACACCAGCAATGAAACTGTGGCTTTCCTTGTGTTAAATGTTCTCTTGCTTTTATTTTTAAGGTTTTCCTTGCTGCTGCTGAATCTGGAAGAATACTATTTCGAACAGCATACAGCTAACTACCTTCTGAACAAGGATGGCAAGGAAAGAAGGTAAACTAACAACACAATAGATACTGTGATATGTCAGTTAAAATGGTGGAATAACCTGTAAATGTCTTTTGAACTCTTAGGCAAATCAGCCCACCCAACAAACACCAGCAATGAAACTGTGGCTTTCCTTGTGTTAAATGTTCTCTTGCTTTTATTTTTAAGGTTTTCCTTGCTGCTGCTGAATCTGGAAGAATACTATTTTGAACAGCATACAGCTAACTACCTTCTGAACAAGGATGGCAAGGAAAGAAGGTAAACTAACAACACAATAGATACTGTGATATGTCAGTTAAAATGGTGGAATAACCTGTAAATGTCTTTTGAACTCTTAGGCAAATCAGAGGGTCATTAAAAATCTGCTCAAAATCAGTGATATTTGAACCTGATGAGATAAACTACCCCATTATTAAGGTAAGAAGGTTTAATAACTGATACCAAAGTACAGTTGTCCATTTCAGTTTCAAAAGGGAAGAATTTAATTTGTGTTTCTGTAAATTCATACAGATACCATTGAGAGACTGCATTAAAATAGAAGCACCAGAAGATGATGAAAGAAGTAATTCCTTTAGGGGGTATGAAATCTTAAATGTGTATTAAATACACTGATTTTGATTTATACACTACTAGTAAAAGTGCCCAGCTTTGTGTGAGTTCTAATAACTCCATGTTTGATAAACTGAAGCTGTCAAGAGTCAGGCATATTGTACCTACCCTATCTGATTATACCAATCCCCTAGACATTTCTTCTGCTATGGTGCATTCCTGCATGGTCCACTTCTATAGCTCACTGGGAGAAGATCTGGTTACTCCAGGAATGTGTCTTAGTTTCTTTCTCTTTGCAGTGTATTCATATTTCAAAGCTACGTGCTGGCACTTCAGGGCTGAAGCACAATAGTCTTTAAATACATGTAAATACATGTTAATATGTGTTAATGCATTAACATTGGCTATTCTTGTTTTAAAGAGTTGCAACTGTAAGTGTACGCATAGGGTCACCGATAGGCATTTCAGACCTCAAATGTCTAGGGTTTTCGGTCTTGGAATGACTGGTCTTACAACTAACAAGAAATATATTTTCTCTGGCATTAGAGACAAGTGTGGTAATTGGTTTTCAAATCTGTATTTTAGGTGTAGACCTGGGCAGATTTCTATTTTATCCAATCAGGTAAGTCATATGTGTTCTAAAAATGCATTTTTAAAAACAGTGTGCAAAATATTTCTTTTAATAAGTCTGATTCCTAAAATTATTTGCTTTGAACTAAACAAATGCGAAATCTGGGGAACTTGTTTATACGTTGCATGGTTGAAAAAGCTTGTGGCTGGAACTTTCTTGCTCCAGCAAATACATACTTAGAGTGGGGAATGCCAAAAGTTGCATCTCAGTCTGCTATGCTGCTTTGAAATATTCCAGATGCAGCTTTTACTAATGGGGTCTTAGGTCATATGGTTACACTACTGACAGTGCATTTCATCAGTTTTTCATTGTTGCTAAATAAACCTAAATACATATCTGAGTAGAAAAGGTCAAGTAGTAATCTGTTGTAAATAATTGAAATGAGGCCAGTGGAACTACAGATAAGATTTAAAATGAAGAAGCCCAGGTCAGATGACTACTAGATACCTTCTGACACTGGAATGCCTCCAGAATTTTTTTTTAAGTGCTGTGACATTTAATTATAGTCAATAGGGACCCTAGGGGTCAAACTAGACTTTGTGTTGAACATATATATGGACTTTGTTTACTGTGAAGAAAAAGCAATCTTGAAATGTTCTCCAGATCACGGGCTGCCATACTAGTGTCTTTCCAGAAATTCTCCTGTCTCTTCTTTGCTTCCATAGGCACTGCTATGAAACAGCACCCTTGGGAACGAATTGCCTAGCGGTAATGATTTTGGGCAGGAAACTGACACAGGTTCACAACCCCACAACAGAGCTTAGAAAAGTTTCTGGATTGCAATTTTGAGAAAATCCTTGGCTGTTCTGGCCGATTGGTTCTGGTAGTTGTAGTCTGGAAAGGAAACTCTGCAGGCATTTGGTTCTGGTAGTTGTAGTCTGGAAAGGACTACAGTATCTGCAGGCACTGTCCCAGAGATACTGTGTCTTCAAACTAAAAATGAGCATAAAAATGAGTACAAATAGGCTATAGAATGTCTGGATAGCCCCAGTGGGTTAGTTATCTGGCTGCAGAACCAGAGGCTGGGAGTTCCTTTCCCCACTGTGTCTCCTTGACAGAGGTTGGACCCAGTGATCCATAGAGTCCCTTCCAGCTCTGTAGTTCCACAATTATTAGTATTATAGTTTAAAAAATATCAAAATGGATTAGTGTGAGGTAAATGTGGAAAGTTTGACCCAGATTAAATAATTTGAAGTTGAGTTCCATTGAAGTCAATAAATGGCCATATTGATATTGATCTCAGTTGAAAGGTAAGTTCATGGAAGTACTCTGGCTCCAAACTATGGTTAAAAGCTGGTGTTAAATACATTTATGTTATTTGTGAACTAGATGATTCTTTCACGTACCTTTAAAAAAACAAAATACAAAGTGCCTTTTGGTCAACAGAACTAAAATAAAACAAGATAAGGTTCTACATTGTAAAAGTAGAACAGAAGAAATGAAAAGCTGAACATAATGGCTGACATCCTATTATTTAGCATAGTAAGTTGGCACTAGAGTATGCCCATTGAATCAGTGGAGATTTGGTGACTCAGCTCCTCTGATTTCCATCAATTCAGTGGGTCTGCTTGAGTTGTGACTTACTGTGCTGAGCAACAGGATTTCGGCCATTTTGAGATACGACTGTAGAGAGTCAGGGAAGAAAAGGAAAGGTTTACTTCAAATGAGTACAGCTAAAAAAGCAAGAAGCTGAGGAACAGAGATCACAGCGAAATTTGGATTTATTGCAGTGTCCTGAACAGTCCTCGCTACTGCAGTATTACCATCTTAGAATAAAGCTGTCTTCCATCTCTCCCTCCAGTACAACAGAATAGGAAGAAGCTGCATATTCTGAATAAATTATTTTTCCTCCCTCAGGCTTTTTTCACTAAAGAGCAAAACATCATTGCGCCTTTTAAAATGGAAAGAGTAAGTACTCTTCGTTTTTGCACTTCAGAAAAAGAACTTAATTTCATGTGGCTTATTCCTGAAAGAACATTAGCACTTAATTATTTGAAGATCTTTGTTTAAAAGACACTTTCCTTGATTTGGGACAGTTGCTGCCTTTGTTCATTTTTTAAAAAATCTTTTTTTATTATATAAATCCATCCATATTGGTTTAACATCGTGTCACCAGGGTACAGCTTATAATCATTTGTAAAACAACTACTACACACATTATACTCCTAATCTATACAACATCCTTCTAACCATTGATAGAATAAGTCCCATGTTTGGTAATATTTTGTATCTTCTTTTCCTTTGATTTTCAGTGTTAGTCTGTCCATTTCGGCGCAGTCCAATATCTTTTTAATTATTTCTTGATCCGTAGGTGTTCCTTCATTTTTCCAGTACTGTGCATGAATAATCCTCGCCGCTGTTAGAATATGCAGTATTAAATATACATTTTGTCTATCAACACTTTCTGGTATTATACCTAACAGAAAGAGCTCTGGCCTAAAATCTACATGTTTTTTGATTATTTTAACAAGCCATGTATGTATTTTGTACCAAAATTTTTTTGCTTTATCACAAGTCCACCAGAGGTGATAATAGGTTCCAGTTTTTTTATGACATTTCCAACATTTACTTGACCTGTTAGAGTACATCTTAGCTAATCTATCAGAAGGTAAATCCCATCTATAAATCATTTTATATAGATTCTCTTTATATGATGTTGCCATTGTCATCTTATAGTTTCTAGACCACAGCCCTTGCCATTTTTCTAAGTCAATATTGTACCCAAAATTTTTTGCCCATTGAACCATCGTTTCTTTGACCTGTTCATCCTCCATTTTCCAATTTAGAAGGTATTTATATACTTTCCTAATTAACTTGTCATCTGATGTTAACATTATTTGGTCAAAAGTTGTCTGATCTGTATAAAAATCATACATTTTTAGGTCCCTTTCATATCTTGATTGTATTTGCATTATAGACCACCACGATGCATCTAACCCCTGGTCTATAAGGTCTTGTTTTGGCTTTAATTGCCTATATTTGTCTAAAATATCTGTATAAGTCAAAATTTTTCTAACATTCAAAAGGTTGGGATGAGCCTTTGTTCATTTTTATACTTTTAATTTAAAATGTCAACAAATTTTCTATGCCCATTAAAAATACCATAGGTGAATGGTGTATACAAAGTACAGTATCTGTTCAGTTTGCCAGATGCCATGAGTATAGAGAACAATTGAAAGAAACTAGAGTTGCAGTGAAACCCCAAATTTAGAGTCACGTCTGAAGTGTGCACAGTCATTGTTCAAATTACTTGTGGACCACTATTCCTGTGGTGAGATGCATGGGAAGCAGTTATAAGGGTAGCTTGTATATCTCAGAAGAAGATGATACATGTAACTTTCCAAGTTACTCAGCACTGCAGGAAATACAAAGAGCTGCGCTGTGGATCACTTGTATGTATTTTCTTTCTCCAACATCCAAAGATATTATGCTGCAGTAAGCTCAACACCAGTTAGCCAGTATCATTTGCAAAGGGATATCAGTGTGTAGTAGAGGCAACCCTATAGAATTGCTTGTTTTCTATTTATAGTCTAAAGTGAACATGATAATTCCATTCTCCATCTCAAGGGGAGAGAGTACATTAAGTACTGCTTTGCTGTCCTGCTAGTAGGTGCATATATCTTTTGAATTTGTGCTGACTGGGGAACAAGGCAAGTGATTATTCTTCAAAATATGTATTGTACTGGATCATACCATTGGTCCATCTCTGCACAGGCTACAGTGATTGGCAACACTTCAGGGATTGCAAACAGAGATTCTTTCACTCCAAACTTTTGCTCTCTCACTAAACTCTGCCCCTCCATTTTTAAAATCTGGTGTGTGTTTTTTCTTAAGCGAGATGTGCAATTATGACCTCTTCATTTCAATGTGCTCTTAATTGTCCTTCCCCTTTTTAGGGTGAAAGCGAATATGTGTTTCAACTGGATGTTGCTGGAAAGGTTGAAGATGTTGTACATACCCTTCACCAGGTCAGAATACAATTCTTCTCGAGGATGATAAAATCTGTTGGTAACTGAATACTTTCAACAAGTAGGTGGAAGCATCTTTGTATTAAAACAGAAATAGTTTTTCTTTAGCAGATGTCTGCATTCCAATTTTGTGTGTGTGAACTGTTCTCATTTGGCACAGGATTATCACAGTGGTCTTTGAAAGGAGCAAGATTACAGTTGACAAAACTTGCTATATGAAAAGTGGATTTACTCCCTTTTCTCATTAAAGTTCTCAGAACAAGAAGCTGCAAACTATAGCTTCTTAATTATGCTTAATTAAGTAGATTTCTGTTTAAAATAAAAGTAACACTGTTGGAAACCCAAGTCAGCCTTTCTCAGCCAGGTATGTTCCTCATGTTCTGGACTACTAATTCCATCTCTCAGCCAATACCAACTTGGAAAAGATAAAAGTCACTGATGGGTGGCACTTGTGATTGTATAGGTACACATTCCATGGTGATATTTGTGAGCAGGAGGAAATGGCTCTGGTGCAAGGTCCGATCTTTATGTGACTGGCTTCGCCTATTCCTGTGGGCCATAAGAAGGCTTCTGCATTCTAAGATGTATATTTTTATATTTGAATAGCTGTACAGGGCATCTCGCTTGGAGAAGTTGGGAGACCAGGCTGCTATGGTAGGTATATACCTGGATGCAGTACCAATGGAAACTGATTTTTTTTGAGGTGATTGTGTTAGTGTTACAATTGCTAAGCACTGCATTTTCTCTTCTTTTGATACCAGATAACTGCTATACTGCAATCACGCTTGGCCAGGGCACCATTTGATAAGAACCGGTATGTTTCTCTAAACATTTTACTTCAAAACAATCCTCCTCTAATTTTATTTTGTGAATAGAATGGATATCTTTTTGACAAATCTGCTGTTAGCAGTGGAGGTCCATGCACTCTGTCTGCTTCCATTAATATTGCTATAGCTGAGTTCTACATCCTCTCATCTATTTCACAATTATTTTCAGTTTTACACAAGGCTAGATTACTTGTCCCAGAATTCTCACTTGTTTTGGTAAAGAAGACCATAGTCCAATGAGAGGGACATTCCTGTTGTTTTACATTTCAACCTTCTGTATCCCCTGCCCTCTTCCTTACTGTTGATTTCCTCATCTGGCTGTAACATGGCTTGGGTATGTTCTTGCAAAATGAGGTCTTTTGACGGACTGGGCTGTGCATTATGTTGTGCCAGAAGAGCAGAGTATTTAGGCTTTTGCAGATGGAAATAAGTGCTGTGAAGTGAATTTTATATTGCCAGTAATAGAAAAGGCACGGATGATATGAGGAGCTTCTTTCCAAAGTATAGTTACTGGCATCAGAAGAGTCCCTGAGATGAATTTCATATAATAGGAAAGATAGTTTCAGCAGAAGCTTAAATTGAGCAAAATGGCTGTTCAGTATGTTTGTTACTTTTATAGATTTCAGAATGTTTCTGAAACGTTGCATATGGAATGTAAAGCTGAAATGGTTACTCCATTGGTGACTAATCCAGGACATGTGTGCATTACAGACGCAAACCTGTATTTCCAACCCCTTAATGGCTACCCTGTAAGTAAATTGAGCTTACATGTTCTTTGCTGCTGCTCTTTGAACCATAATCAAATGTTTTGAAGTGCTCCTAATAACATCATCCCTTTGAAACACAGAAGAGACTTGTTTGATGGTTGTATAGCTCTGTGTCTTCAGTTTGGCAAGTTCTGCTTTTGTGTGGCAATGTATTTATTATTTATTTTCATTAATGCTGCTCTTCTGTCCAAGAACACCAAGAACAGCATCCATCACAATACAAGCAACCATTACATATATAAGAAACACAACAATCAATAAATAACATACTTCACATAAATGGTAAAAATGCAAATAAAAATTAGCAACAATCTAAAGCCCAACAAACAATTTTGTCATATATATATTACTGTATAATTCTTCACTGTGTAAGTGGTGGAATAGCAAGAACTTCATGTAATTTAGAATACATGTGTGAATGTTATGTTGCTTCATTAAAATACATTGCTATGTCCTTTCAAGGTTTTGGAAGAATCCTTTTTCATACCAGGCATGATTTTTTTAATAGATGAATATGTGGCACTCCAGAAGTTATTAGGCTTTGATTTGCATCAAGCATAGCCAGTGGTCAGGGTTGATGGGCTTAGTACTTCATCAGCATCAGGAAGGGTGCAAATTCACCTGCAACTGCTGTAAATTCTACTGTTGGTGTCCACATCTGCATGTGTTCAGTGTTATGTAGAGAGGGAAATGTTTAACTACATTTTCAGTATTCAGATTTGCAACATGTAATTTGGGATTTTGGAAATCCCCAAGTACTGTATGTTTTAGGAGTTTAGGCTAGAATTGATGTCTGTGAAAGAGTTTGCTTCTATTACAAGGCAGGTTTCAGACTCTACTTCTTCAAATCTGCTATTTTTAAATGCTGTTCACAGACACAGAGTCCTGTGCATTGCCACAGAGTTATGATGGCTATGCATTACATCCAATATGCTGCTTAATTCTGGTTTCTAGGGAACATGACCCAGTATTTTGAAGCAGTCATAATAATACCTCACGTATGTTCATGTTCTGGCTGTGGACATCCCATAGACATCTGCCTGGCTATATGTGAATATGTGAATGGAATAGAGTGGTGGATCAGATAGGCTTTCAGTATGATCAACATTCCCTCTAATTTTCAGCCCCACTGGGTGGCGCTCTACTTCTCATGCTTGTGACTCCACCCCACCTCACCCCATGTGGGGTTCTATCATGAATGGAACCAAAGGGGCTGGAAACAATCGCTGTGGGTGTGTGGAGGACGAGCCTTGTGCAGAGTGAAGCAGAATCACACACAGCTGTGCACCCTAAAGGGAACGTTCAGTATGAACCATCAGAACTCTTTTGATGTAACAAAATTTAGCATTCGTATATTATGGACAACTTGAGCTTCAAAGCATATAGAGCAGTAATCTCTTATATCGTATGGCCCACACTCACAGCTCCACACTGCAGCAAGACCTAAGGAAGACTTTCGTGTGTTGACTACGGAGGGGCAAGGGGCACTTACAAGTGTGTGCAGCATTTCAGTGACCAACACCCTGCCTTATCACAACTTCCACTCATGGAAATGTGATGAGCATGTTCAATGTAAATGTGTTTTCATCCAGTTCTGTAGAACTTTTCAGAGGACATGCAAATATTTGTCTTATTTCTGGTCAGGATGGGTATAGAGTGTGGGTTTACCAGTGTCCTGTGTTACGTTTGTAAACCAACATACTTTATACTAGAGTAACGTTAAGACCTGAACAAATTATCGTTAGCCAGATGGTCTTTCTATAATGGTAGCAAACTCTGAAACAGCATCATATCCTTCATGAATAATCATAATATGTTAGTATCCCCATCTTCAAGTCATAATTTACAATGTGTTGCTCTATTGTACCATATAACATGGGTAACATCTTGCTCAGGAGTGGGGCTACGTTCCTCTTGTTAGCATGTATTGGGTTTCCAATGTATTAAGGTCAGCTTTGCAGCTCTTTGGATTGCATAATATGTGTGAAATGCTCACTTAATCTTTAGTCACAGGTTGGATTTTCCAGCTTAAAACCAGCTTATCTATCCAACCATTTCATGCCAGCCATTCTTGGAATGTATCTGAATGATTAAGTAATTGTAATGCTGCTAACTCTAGAACTGATGCAACTTGATTTAAAATGTGGACAGTGAATACATTTCGAGTATGATACAGGCTGATTGTTTATAGAGGCTGCAACTTTCTTCTAGTATTCCACAATCTGTGGGAACAGTGGGAATTTCATATCTTATTTCCATACTTATGCTCCTTGCCTTCCAGAAGCCTGTGGTTCAAGTGATGCTGCATAGTGTTAGACGCATTTACAAAAGAAGACATGGCCTAGTGCCTTTGGTAAGATGAAATTTGTACTTGCCTTTTGGTACTTCAGATGCAAATCCTGAACTTAAACCCTCATCCACTAGATTTGAAAACTAATAATAGTTGAGGGACTTGTTGAAGTACTTTCTAATCTCATAAATACTCCGATATATTGAGATCTAGCAGGAAGTTTGGGGGTTACATATCTTTGCTAAAGAATTACAGGCTCCCACTTGAATGGAACCAACATTCTGACTATTAGATATTCTCAGCATCATAGCTCATCTTGAATTTTTTGTTTGTTTCAACAATATTAGCATCCAGTGACAAAATATAATAGGTTTGTTAGAACTTTATTTTGTCCTAGTTATTTTTTTGCCTGTTAAATTAAACTCCTGTAGCATGAAATATTGAAACATTTGCCTCTAGCTCTTCAGGAAGGACACTGTCTACAACTCTTTAGGTAGCAGTGCTGTATTGTACATACACTGCCAGCCTAGGTGTGTGTGGATTGTGTCACCAAATATGATTTTGGGGGGGGGGATTGGAACATCCTGTCCTGGTGAGGAGAGACTGAACTTTTTCTATTAGGTGTATCTAACTCTGATTAATATGAAATTCTGTCTCATTACAGTAGAATTACACAGCAGTTGATAGTGTAGCAAATTGCTTCATAAGTGCAGATGTTGAAAAGCTGCCATACATCTTATATATTCCTTAGGGGATTGGAACAGAATATTTATTTATTTATTTATTTATTTATTTATTTATTTATTTATTTATTTATTTATTTATTTATTTCCCGCCTATCTCATAAGTGCAGATGTTGAAAAGCTGCCATACATCTTATATATTCCTTAGGGGATTGGAACAGAATATTTATTTATTTATTTATTTATTTATTTATTTATTTATTTATTTATTTCCCGCCTATCTGGTCTTGCAACCACTCTAGGCGGCTAAGAGAATATCTCTTATTATGAGGACATATCTTTTTTTTTTTTTTAACCAGAAGACAATGTAGTTGAATAGAGCAGCAGATAGGCTGCCAGTAATAAAAGCATATAGATAAAAACTTCATTGTGACTTTCACTGATATGTAGCAAATGCCTGTGTGGTTAGGCCAAATCTACTATGAGGATGATGAGAATGTACTTGTGCCTAAGATTTGCTGTGCTAGTGTCCTGAATGGTGGGATTGCCTGGGAAACTTTGTGACAAATCACTTTTATCTCTATTCTTAAGGGTCTGGAAGTGTTTTGCACTGAAAATGATCTGTGTTCAGACATCTATTTGAAGTTCTATGACACACAAGACCGAGATAATGCCTATTTCCACGTGGCAACATATTTAGGTTTATATCACTGTTTGTTTTTACAAATTGCAATGGGTAAGGGGAAAATGAAGGCAGCATTAAGTGCTAACGTATTTCAGTGTTCATTTTTTTGCAGTTGTCATTTAAGGCTACGGTTTGTGTCTGGTGGGAAGAGTGGAATGTGGGAAAGATCCTTGTCTCTACTATCATAGTTCTCTTGATTGTTTTCAGAGCTCAGGGAAATAGTTTTCTTTTGATGAAAGCTCCCAGAATCCTGTGGCTGTCATGGCCAAAGGCCACACTGTCGGGGAGATTCTAGGACTTATAGTAAAAACATTTTCTAGCCCAATGCCCATTTGTAAATGTACATGTTATACTGGACAAAACCTACTGGTGATTTTGTGAGGAATAACTTCACCGATTTTTCCACCTAATACTCACTGACCAGATTATGTCAAGACAGTGACCTGTTTTGTCCACTGTGTAACAATTGGCTACTCTAGATGCCTTGCTTAGCCTGTTAAGTCTGAGAACAACATTTCAATGTGGTTGTAGAAGAGCCCAATTGGAAACTACAATAACATCTTCTCTCTCTGGTTCATTTCCTGTTTCACCTTAGAGAACCATGTTGCAGAACACACAGCAGAAAGTTACATGTTACAGTGGCAACGGGGGCATATTTCAAACTACCAATACCTTCTTCACCTCAATAATCTGGCTGATCGGAGCTGCAATGACCTGTCCCAGTATCCTGTATTTCCATGGATTTTAGCAGATTACTCTAGCTCAGAATTGGGTAAGGAGTGAATCTTTGTAGAAGAAAAGAGCACTAGACTCATGATGCTCTTTTGCCATCCAGTGTGGTTATGTGTGTGTTTAGTCGTTTAGTCGTGTCCGACTCTTTGTGACCCCATGGACCAGAGCACGCCAGGCCCTCCTGTCTTCTACTGCCTCCCGGAGTTGTGTCAGGTTCATGTTGGTTGCTTCGCAGACACTGTCCCGCCATCTCATCCTCGGTCGTCCCCTTCTCCTCTTGCCGTCACACTTTCCCAACATCAGGGTCTTTTCCAGGGAGTCTTTTCTTCTCATTAGATGGCCAAAGTACTGGAGCCTCAGCTTCAGGATCTGTCCTTCCAGTGAGCACTCAGGGTTGATTTCCTTTAGAATTGATAGGTTTGTTCTCTTTGCAGTCCAGGGGATTCTCAAGAGTCTCCTCCAGCACCACAATTCAAAGGCATCAATTCTTCGGCGGTCTGCTTTCTTTATGGTCCAGCTCTCACTTCCATACATCACGACAGGAAAAACCATAGCTTTGACTATTCGGACTTTTGTTGGCAAGGTGATGTCTCTGCTTTTCAAGATGCTGTCAAGATTTGTCATTGCTTTCCTCCCAAGAAGAAGGCGCCTTTTAATTTCTGGGCTGCTGTCTCCATCTGCAGTGATCATGGAGCCCAGGAAAATAAAATCTGTCACTGCCTCCATGTCTTCCCCTTCTATTTCCCAGGAGGTGATGGGGCCAGTGGCCATGATCTTAGTTTTTTTGATGTTGAGTTTCAGACCGTTTTTTTGCACTCTCCTCTTTCACTCTCATTACAAGGTTCTTTAATTTCTCCTCACTTTCTGCCATCAGAGTGGTATCATCTGCATATCGGAGGTTGTTGATATTTCTTCCGGCAATCTTAATTCCGGCTTGGGTTTCTTCCAGTCCAGCCTTCCGCATGATGTATTCTGCATATAAGTTAAATAAGCTGGGGGACAATATACAGCCTTGCCGTACTCCTTTCCCAATTTTGAACCACTCAGTTGTTCCATGACCAGTTCTAACTGTTGCTTCCTGTCCCACATATAGGTTTCTCAGGAGACAGATAAAGTGGTCAGGCACTCCCATTTCTTTAAGAACTTGCCATAGTTTGTTGTGGTCCACACAGTCAAAGGCTTTCGCATAGTCAATGAAGCAGAAGTAGATATTTTTCTGGAACTCTCTGGCTTTCTCCATAATCCAGAGCAAGTTAGCAATTTGGTCTCGAGTTCCTCTGCCTCTTCGGAATCCAGCTTGTACTTCTGGGAGTTCTTGGTCCACATACTGCTGAAGCCTACCTTGCAGGATTTTGAGCATAACCTTGCTAGCGTGCGAAATGAGTGCAATTGTTCGGTAGTTGGAGCATTCTTTGGCACTGCCTTTCTTTGGGATTGGGATGTAGACTGATCTACAGATATGGTTATACAGATAATCAAAACAGATTCAATCTCAGATGTGGTACTGTACAACTTCCGCTGATTTCTCTGGGACTTGCTGAAGGTTCCATGGAGTGCTTGCAATTTAAAGCTTTACGAGTCAATAGTCAAAATGTAGCAACTGAGTAACATTTGGCCCTGTGCTAATTCACCACATTCACCAGAAAGAAAACAAAAAATTTAATACTTATTGTTCAGTATTTTTTGCTGCTGTAATGTACAGAAAGGAAATTCTGTTACTCTCTGTTTTTCATTTTACTAGACTTGACAAAGCCTGAAACGTTTCGTGACCTCAGTAAGCCTATAGGTGCATTAAATAAAGAGAGGCTGGACAGATTATTGGTATGTTACTTTTTGTATTTATATGTGAATTTGTACATTTGATATATGATTGTGCCACGCTCCTGAATATGGGTAGTTTCCCATAAAGGTTTAGGGGCACTTTCTAATAAGGTTTTAGAGGCATAGTTAAACATCTGTAATGTGTTCCACTGTGTTTTCTAATCAACATCACCTTAATATGTAGAGCCTTTAATATCCTCATTTTCTACCCAAAGAAATTAGCCACCTGTTCCCATTAAAGTGGAGAATCTGAAAGAGCAGTAGCTGTTTCTGCTATTCCCATTAGCTGAAATGCTTAGAATTCAGAACATTTTACATTTCTCCAAGCTTACTTAGAGTCATTTCAATGTTGGAATCAGTTGTTTATAGCACAGTGGGTAGTTAGTTGCAGCAGTATAACACACAGCTATCAAATGTCTTCATCCTGTTTGTGTAAATATAGATACAAAACTGGAAAAACAGCCATTTACGTCTAGCATGTGTTTAAGAGATGCCTTCACAGACCATCTAAAGAGCTTTAATAGTTAAATTTGGATGATGGCCAGAGGTGCTGCTTAATCAGTAACATGAATAGGCAGCTCTAACCATTCCAAGAAATGCAATATTAGAACTTCGTTTCCCTTCAGAAAAGAACACCAGGGAAGCCAAATGTATTTGGTTATTATTTAGATGAGGGAAACTTTAGCCTGTCCATTGTTTTGGCTTTTAATTTCATCTACCCCTGGTAAAATCCAGCAGAGAAGGATAAAAGTCATACTCCAAAATATTTGGAGGGCCAATGGATTCCAACCTTTGATCTGGATGTGAAGAATAGCATCTCATTGTATTTGGTGATAACTAACTTACATAATCAGCAGATGTGATGTATCTGTTGCCGGAATAGATCAAACTATAGGTACAAGGTCAAGTGTTTGCATTATTAAGATGCATCTTTTTACTGTATTACAAAACACTTCTCTATAGCATATTAACATTTATGTAGGTTATGTAGAAATAGATAGCTCTTGTTCTAAATGTGCTTAGGATCAGGCGACAGATATAGCAGGCTGTTGAAACTGAACAAGGCGAACAGTTCGTTCAGCTGGTCCTGGAGAGAATGCTTCAGTGTTCTGATGCCATATATTGCGCTATAGAGTATATCTTAACATTTGTATCCTGTGTGACAGTTATTTGTGTTACTGTAATGAGATAAGGCATCAGACAGAGGGCAAAATCCAGTTGGTGTGACTTTGTGTGGTGTAACCTGGATTAGGTGCAAAAAGTATTTAATTTAAAGTCATTTAAAACTTCCTATCCTTCTTTTAGGTTCAGAGGTTTCTTAGAGTTTCTTTTTGCCCTAAGGAAGGAGAAGCAGGGAAGCTTTTAATAGTTTTTTAAAAATGGATTACTGCTTCTGGTATTGAGACCATTTGATTTGAGTTATGCTGGCATAGAAGTTACTCAAAGGATTTTATTCAGTATGAAATAATATTTCAGTCTTAATATATGATATGTACATATGTATATGTGAGGTACAGAATAGTATTGGCATTGAACAGTTTCTCTCACTCATTTTTTTCTCCATAGGCACGGTATCGAGAAATGCCAGAACCAAAGTTTATGTATGGCAGCCATTACTCCTCGCCGGGTTATGTTCTGTTTTATCTTGTCAGAGTTGGTAAGGCATCTGTAAAGATTCTCCTGAGCATGTGGTAGTGAAGCTTTATTAAACTGGCTTGATATCTCACCTGTCTTCTTTCACAGCACCAGAATACATGCTTTGTTTGCAAAATGGAAAATTTGACCACCCTGACAGAATGTTCAACAGGTTTGTTTGAAAGCTTTTGGGCGAGTTCAGTTTTGCTGGGCTGGTGACACAAAACCCTTGCCTTAAGAGAAGTCACTTCTAAAACTTTTTTCTTCTCTATGCTGTTCTTATCCAGTATTGCAGAAACCTGGAAGAATTGTTTAGATGGGGCAACAGACTTCAAAGAGGTAAACAGCCTGTCTGTACTTCAGTCTGCACTGATCAGTTATTTCTGGTGTTTAATGATAACCTTAGACATGCATGTTGATACACAATCAGGAAGCAGATTAACAACCCCCCCCCACCATTTTAGGGACTTATCAGAGTTTTATCAGAACTTTTGTCTGAAAGAAGCTATAATTCAAATGTAGAACATGTACTTTGGATGAAGGCCTTAGAAGGATTAAAAATGATATTGGACTAATAGCCTGATGTATTGCAGATTAACAAACAGTGGTGCCTCGCTTAATGGGCGCTCCATTTAGCGACGAAACCGCATAGCGACACATTTTTTGCGATCGCAAAAGCGATCGCTTTGCGATGTTTCCTATGCGTTTGGGGGTTTTTTTGCTTTACGATGATCGGTTCCCTGTTTCGCTTACCGATCATTGCAAAGCGATGATTTTTTAACAGCTGATTGGCGGTTCCAAAATGGCCACCCGCTGTGTTTTCGCGCAGATTCCTCGCTTTAGAGGCAGCGAAAATGGCGGCACTATGGAGGATCTTCGCTCAACGGTGAGTTTTAAGCCCATAGGAATGCATTGAAGGGGTTTCAGTGTGTTTCTATGGGCTTTTTAAAATCGCATAGTGACATTTTTGTTCTGCAGCGATTTCTGCGGAACGGATTAACGTCGCTATGCGAGGCACCACTGTAATTTGATACTTAATGGGGATAGTTTTGCTATGTTGCCTTTCCTTAAGTTTGCTGAATGTGCAAACAACACGCTTTGGTGCTAAATGCATTCTGTTGAAAGTAAGTTTCATTTATTGCCATTGAACTGACTGCCAAGGTATACATGTACATGGCCAGGAGTGTCATCCTGTTTTTGCACTTGACATGTGTCATGATTTATGGTAAAAATCAGCCAGGCTTTGAGATACCTTTTTTGGAACACTGAAGTCCATTGTGTGATCATATCTGAGTGTTCAGTAAGATTTTTCTCTGTGCTCGGTTTGCTACAGTATTATAAGCATACTCCTATTTTAGCACTTAACAGTTCTGTTCACCTTTTTTATTTGCTGCAGTTAATTCCTGAATTCTATGAAAATGATCCCAGTTTCCTACTAAATAGTCTAAAACTGGATTTGGGGAAGACACAAGCAGGAAAGGTGGTTGACAATGTAGAGCTGCCCCCTTGGGCCACAGGTATATCACATTTCAGGTGTATCTAGAAATCGGGTTTCTCAATTTAGAAGCAGAGCTGTTCCTCCTTTGAGGCCGAGTGAGAGGGCCATCTCTTGGGGCAGATACCAGGAGTTGAACAACACTAGTGTTCCTCCCCTTCCTGGATGAGGAGTCCCTGACAATTTTGGTTCATACCCTTTTTCTCTCATCGATCAACTATTGTAATTGTCTCTGTGTGGGGCTTTTCTTGAAGCTGACTTGAAGATTACAACAGGTGCAGATTTTGGCAGCCAGGTTGATTACTAGAGGGAGGAAGTTTGATCATACATCCTCAGTCCTGACTTGCCTGCACTGGCTACCTGTTGTGTCGTGGGCCAGCTTCAAAGTGTTAGTTTTACCATACAAAGCCCTTAACATTTTAGGACCTTGCTACTTTTTGAAGCATTTCTTCTACAGAAATGCTGCCTGCACCAACCCTTGGCCTCACTCTTGTGGGTGAACACGCTGAGGGAGGCAAGGAAGGCTTCAACCAGAATGTAGACCTTCTTTGTTGTGCCCCCCACACACTTTGGAATGGTCTTCCACTAGAGATCCAGCAGGCCTTCTCCTTCCAATGTTTTAAAAGACAGCTAAAAGCTTTACTATTTAGAGAAGCCTTTAAGGATATTTCCCCCCTCAGTTAGTGTACTCTTTGACCCTGTGCCACCTGAAGGCTGTTGCCATCACTTGGTTCTATTTGGTTCGTTTACTTTGTTTTATGAGTTTGGGGTTTATTGTCTATTTATGATGTTGGGGAATATTGGTTAGGGATAGGGTTCATAGTATATATTGTAATGACCACCCAGAGTAGTGGTCCCACTAAATTGGGCAGGATGTAAGAGCCAGCAGTCAATCAGTCAGTCAGTCAAGTAAGTTCTGAGGAAATAACTTCTGTCTTCTTTTTAACTAGAGATGGGAAATGTTTGGGCTTTTGGTGCTGTTCCTCCCAGAGGCAGGCAGCCAAAATAGCAATTGAGAGTATTTAAAAAAATAGAGGAGCTTCCCAGCTTTGCTTTTTATCTTATTTCATTCCTTGTGCTTCCAAAATAGTGCTCATCGCTTTTGTGAGTAAGAATACATGCCAGTAAGAGGTATGGGTGTTTTGAATCCTGAATTGATTTAAAGCCCAAAAACCTTTGTGGTGCTGATTAATAGTACATCCCAAAGTATCTAGGGGGCTTCTTTTCCAATGAATGTTTAAATAAAAGAGATGGGGCAGAAAAAAATAGACGTTTGTTCTAAAGTGGCCTTTGGCATCATCTGCTTTAGATGCTGCTGATTTCCTCCAGAAGAGCCGAGATGCTTTAGAAAGCCAGTATGTGTCTGAACATCTCAATGAATGGATTGACTTAATCTTTGGCTACAAGCAGAAGGGAAATGAAGCTATTACTGCTCAGAATGGTAAGATGCTAAACTTTTGTTTTCGTTTAAAATTTGCCAGAACATTTCCTGTACTAACAATTTCTCTTTCATTTCTAACCATTGTTAGGCATGATAAGCCTAATTTACCATGCCTAAAAAGTCACATGGTCACCATGGGTTAGAGGTGACTTGACGAAACATAATAATA